CTCTCTTCTAGACTTTGTGGGGCACCTGGGTGTACAAACACACACCATTAAAAATAAATAAAAGCATAATCTTTTTCAAAACTTAAACCTGACACCTCAACTGTATCTGTAAATATTTTTAAACATTTCTGATAGTGTTTGATGATCTAACTTTGCTTTACAGTTTCTGTCCTGTTTGTGTAGTTTTTGACTCTAGGAACTGAAATGTTGTCATTTCCTTATGCAGTGTTTATCTGTTCAGCACTACTTAGTTGCTACTCTGCACCATGCACTGCGTTGGGCACTGTGGACAGAAACATGATCAAACAGGTTCCCATGTCTGAGGAGCTCTCGATTTTATGTGGAAGGGCATAGATGTGAACCACTGCCTAGATGGCATTCGGAAGGCAGACAAGCAACACAGGATATTCCAACCCTCAGTGATTAGGAGGAAAGAGTCATTCAGGACCTTCCCTGTATCTTCCCTGAGTCTAGAAAGCATGAGGCTGTCTGAGAAACCTGGAAGGGAAAGGGTTGGGGGTAAAGAACTAAAGGGAGCTTTGGTGGATCTTTTTTTATGGGTGGTTAGCAGTCACTGAGGAAGTAGGACTGAGAGAAAGGAGACTTGAAACAGAAAGAGCCCAAATGGAAGATATTGTTAAATCCACACAAAAAGTCACAAGGACTGTCTTTGGTCTAAAGGTAGAAATGGCGAGAAGGGCAGAGATGCCAGCTACATATAGAGTTCTGGGGGGAGAAGTGTCAAGGGCTGGCCTTAATGAGCGATGGTTTCTGGTGAGCTGGAGGTGATGTGGATGTTTTCTAGGGCTGATGACGCCACATTCCCTGATTCTTAGCCTTTTGATCTTCATTAATCTGCTAAATTAAACACTGATCATTGAGAAGTGGTTTCTCTGAGAATGGCCGAGAGCAGTATTTATCTATGGGTATAAATATAAATATTTAGAAGGCCATTCTGACACTTTTGCCCACTTAGCAAAAGAAAAGAAAAAATAGTAGTAGATTCGTCTCTAGGACCTAGGACCTCTAGAGATGCCAGCTTTTGATTGGTTTTATATTCATCGTACCAGGCATGAGTTTCTAAATGTGGAACAGGCCTCAAATCCAATCAGAAAGTGGTTGCTTATTCCATAGTAACAGTAGTGCTACTGTTACACCAGTAGCATATCTTGTTAAGCAGGTTGTTAGTGGAGTAGCTTAGTGGGTCTACAGCTGATTAGGAATGTGGGTGACCTTTCTGCCACAGTAGCTTTCATAGCAAGCGTCTGCTGGCACTATGAAAGCCACACTGCAGGGAGGAGGCATCCCAGGTAGTCAAAGCTTCATCTCTCCGCTCTGCTATTGTCACTGTTCATCGGGCCCTATTTATACCTTCCAAACATCACATGTCCTCCATGGGTCCTGCCTCAGAACACGGCTTTGCCTCATCACGAATGTCTGCCTCAGCTGACATCACTCTGCCAATCACCTTGAGTCCAGCAGTGTTTTTTTGGTGCGTTTCTCTCTACAGAGTCCCAACAAACACAGCTCAACTACGCAGTGTAAGGCGGACCAATACATGCATGTCGTTAGCAAAGAATCCTTCATCACGCGTTCTTTCACGTGTTGGCTTTAGCAGAACATCCCCTCTCCTGTGTCTGCTTCAGCTAAATGTTCCTTCACGTGTTTGCCTGAGCAAAACACCATCCAACTAGCTACCCAAAGATCCTTTAAGTTTCCACTTCACAGAGGCAATGGCCTTAATAATGCCTCAGAGCCTCTGAGGCACCCCTTATGGGCACTCTGAGGTGCCTTATGGGGAAGTTTCCCCAACCTGGTTCTAGGACTTTTGTTTAATAATCTATGTCTTCTTGAGGGGAGCATCATCCAGTGATTATGCAGTGCCTCCATTCAAACCTGAAAAAAATATTTTAATGGACCTACAAAATGGCAGGCTTTTTCATTCCTTTCTACTTTTAGGTAACTCCTCTCTCCATCACCTCCTGACTTCTCCATTCCACTTAACCCTTTCCATTCCTCAGCATGCCCCACACTCTACTTCCACATCCCATGTATCCTGCTACTCCTTCCCCTCTCCCTAAGGCCTCTTTCCCCCTTCCCATTCAATGGCACCTTTCTAATTTCTTGGTGTTTACAGACACACCAAGTCGTACACAATAGTCTAAAAGGATTGCGAGGCTAGGATTCACAGATTAGAGAGAACATGTCTATGTGTCTTGAGTTGTCTGCTATTTTTACATGTTACTCTATTGTGGCGTGCAATTAGAGAACATATTTTAAAGCATTGCAACAGACCCCAGCATCTTATTTACATTTTCTACAGTTTCTATATGGTGAGTTTGACTCAAGCTCAATCAAAACAATGCTGGAAGTACTCCGTGTACTATTTGTTTTGTGTTAAACAATACCAATAGCCAGGAGATAAATACATTAAATAAAAGAAAAGATGAGGGATATTTATGCTTATTTGCCCTGATGATGAAGAATAAAATCAAACACATTTTGAGAGGACACTGAATAAGTAGACCAAATGAGAAGTGATATCTTCAAGAGGTGACGTCTGAGCACCTTTCCATATCCTTTTATTATCCCCAGGATACAGATGTTAAATAGTATTTGTCTGCAAAGGTCATCACATTGAAGACAGCCCAGATCGCCTTTCTCTGTGAATTTTTCTCACACAATAGACTTGTTTCCATCCACAGCTCCTGCTGTTGTTGGTTTTTTTTTTTTTTTCTTGGACAGCTACCCTTCATCCTTTGTTTTCTCAAGTAGTACCAGAACCTTTGCACATTCCTTTGCCTTTCCAGTTTTTCTGTGGAAATTCCCATGAGCCCATTTCAGACCCAAGAAAAACTCCAGGTATGCAGGAAACAGTGTTTCTACAGCCATTGGCTCCTGGTCAAGTCGCCTCTGACAAATTATTTAGAGATGCCGATTAGGTTACAAGGGGTCATGACCTTTCAGGCCTTTGCTGATTTGTCATGGAGTTATTGGTCATTTTCCAAGATCAGCAGGAGGGGCAGTGCTGAGAGAAGCCATCTATAGAATGTTACTTGGCCTGAGACACAATGCTGACCTCTTGTCATTAAGGTGCTATGGGGCCAATCACAGCCAAAGTTAATGTCTGATGCTACCTCTAGGACAGATATCACAGCAGGAGCCTCCATAGCTGGTCAATTAAAGTCAGATGTTTGGCCACAAGAAGAGACATGGCATGTGTCACAACAAACTAAAGAGTCTGAGGTTTTCACTTGTGAAGAACCATTTTCCTCATATGGCCACATGGTTATTAATTAAAGGAGATTGTTCCTTGAGACATGAACAGTATCATTTTCTGGCTCGATAGTGCAGCATCGAGCTTGGTGGGCTTTGTGTGATTATTCTCTCTCCTCTCCTCTCCTCTCCTCTCCTCTCCTCTCCTCTCCTCTCCTCTTCTCTCTTCTCTCTCTTTTGAAGTGTCTCAAGCATTTGCTTGTCCAACCCCTCCCCTCCCCCTTTCTGCTCATGCTTCTGCTGTCCTTAAGAGAGAATGTGGGAGTTTGCCCTTGTTAAAGACATGTTAATTCTAGACATGGCTTTACATGTTGACATTTCCCAGTTAGCTCACAGCTCGTACTAGAATTCTGTTGAAACTGTGCCATGATATACTGCCAGCAAGTGGGAGTGGTGAAAAACACTAGGAAGGCTAGTGACGGCTAAAATAACACAAAATAGCAGCGCTGTCATCACCCATTCTGACAATGCAGACCTTACCAAAAGCACAGTGAGAAGACCCCTGTGTATCTCATACCAGTTTTATCGAGGAATAGTGAGCTTGCATGGTTCTGATCATTTTTAGAATAAAAAAAAAACTAGTGAGTTTTTGTTTCCTCAAAGAAACGAATCTCCTTACATTAAACAAGCTGGCCCCGAGTGGTTTACCTACCCTCTGTATTTATTTTTATTTAAAATGCCTTGTTTCTATTATTCCTTTTAGTTTGAAATCAACTTTCAGTTTCTTTCCTTCGGGGAGAAGACAATCATTCAGTCCTTTAAAGTAGTTGCTTTGTGTAATAGCCAAATTTTAAGGAAATATAAATTAAAACCACTTGCAGTGATTAAACCTGAAACTAACAAATACTTCCATGCATGTAACATAACTAATTTTTTTTTTTACTAACATGACTGTTTAATGCAAGATATTCTATTTGTAAAATGTTTGCACTTGGCTCGTCATGAAAGGTGATTTTTTTCCCCTCTTGAAAAATACCAATTAGCCCTGATTTTGTGTTGTCACTTCATGTTCTTTTTCCAATGCAGAGAAAAAATAAACGAAACATAGAAGTTGATCTTAAATATCAAAAATCAAACCAGATGAAGAAGAAAAATGCATTACCCTATGTACACGTGGAAATTACAATACAAAGAGCTTCTCAAAGAGCGCTGCTTTATGTAATGTTGCCGGGAAGCAGAGGCAAAGGCATGTGTATATTAATCATCCTCTCCTGCATCTTCCATTGGCAACCAAAGGCTGCCTTTCAGCTGTGGGAGCTCTCCCCCCAGGACTGCTGACACTGGGCAGTGCTGGAAAATGTTTCTCAAGCCCCTAGCGTGCCAGATGGAGATGAAGCTGTCTGCCTGAGCCATGACAAAATCATTTATTAATTTCCATTACGTTTCATTACCATGATTACAAGCAGTCAGGTGTAAGTGAGCCTGGATGGAAATTAAACGCATATTCATTCTAAGCTGAAAGATTACCTGGATGCCTTCCTGAGTTTCAGAAAGTTTGTAACCGTTTGTTCTTGCTCCACCTCTGTTGATTTCAGCTGTTAGGTAAACTTGGATTGGAAAAGTGGTGTGTTGAGAAAAATCCTTGTACAATAGCAATTGTGTTATGTGATTGTGGTAAAGTGACTTGGTAGTAGCTAACTAACCACATACTATGAATTCAGTGTCGCCACATCTTTTGACACTTCTCACAATAGGAAGAAGAATGAAGCTGTACATGATTGTGGTGATTCATGATATTCCAGTTTATCAGATTGTGAATTTATATGTCTATGAAATATACATTCATGTGGCACTTTGCATTCAGATTTAAACATTTAACTCAGCATTTAAGATGATCATATTTAATATTTGGGAACTAATTCATTCTGATGAAATTTAAAGGGTCCATATATCTCAGGCTATGGAGATCTTCATCCAGACACAACCTCTGTTTTCTGGTATTAATGGTGGAAAAGGCAGTAGACATCTGCAGATCACTGTGGTCTCAGTTGCAGCTTGGTCCAGGCACTGCCATTTCTCCTTCTACCTAAAGGAATTTTATTTCTTTTAAAGGCAGTTTTCATTTTAATTATCTAAACAATATACAAGCATATGTGTTAGCTTTTATATTGCAAATTCTCTGTTTTAAAATTATCTTATGATCTTTGAGCCTATATTGTATAAGTTAAAAGTTTTTTTTTTTTAATAGAAATAGGAAAAAGTCATTTCAAACTAATGAAAACACAGGCTTTCTACTGTTGTCTGTAAACAAAAGACAAGACTCTCTCAGCCAGTGGTAAATAGAAGAACAACTCAGGCAGGTTTATGGGCAGAGGACGCAGAAAAGCTTGGAGGCGCTCTGGAATTTATTCTTATACTAACATGCTATGACAACACGGGTAACATATGTCTTTTTCCAGTGCACTCATAGTCCACCATGAATAGGAGAGAAGAAGAGGCAGAAAAGTAAATTAGAATTTGACATGAAGCATGATTAATATGCTTCTCATAATTTAATTCGAGAGACCCAGTGGGTACCTTGGAGGCTGGCTCAGAGCTGGTATCACCTGTGGCTACCTTGCTGGTGCATCCTAAACGGTGTGCAGTTGTGAGCAACCAGTGCCTGTAGCCTGTGCAGTGTCCCTACTTTAATATGATGTTAGTGCAAAACATATTAGCTGTTTGTTGGATGTGTGAATAAGTGAGCCACAGCATCGTTACAAGTCTTTAGGAGAGTGAAACAGATCTAATCCTTTCCAGAAACGGGTTCTTAGGGTAAAACGGACAGTTTGCTTAATGCATGGTCAAGTTTGAATTCTTAGAAAAGATTTTTTGATTTGATATAATGATTGCTTGTAGAAAGTACATATAGTATGCCACGCTGAAAGGACAGTTTATAAATATAGGTTGAAGACAGAAAATACTTGCAAACATGTAAGTAAATGCCAAATAACTTGGGTTTACTCTAAGGCAGCAATTGTCAGCCTAGAGGACTAAATTGTTGCGAGCAGGAGCCCGGGAAGAAGCTAGAGGTGTTTTGTTTTGCTTCATTTCTCCTGGCTTAGGTTTCCCCGGCCTCATTTGCTCAGTCCTTTTGCTGGATTCATTTGAGGCATTTCTTATCATTGTAGTCAGATGGCATTTGGGCTCTCACAATCCTGACTGCTAATCACTGGGGTGCCTTAGTGCTCCTCCACTTGGCTCTCCACAAGGGGCAGCTGGCTCCTCCAAAGAAGCACCCCACTGAGAACAGACACCCCTGGAACAGTGGCTTGTCAAACCTCTGCTTATGTTACATAAGCTAACCGGCAGCTTGTGCAAAGTAAGCCACTAACTAGATGCAGGAGGGCTGGGTTTATAGAGGGGTGTGGTTGACTAGAGACCCTTAAGATTGGATCCCAGCCCTTTCCAGGAATATCCTTATGGGCCAGGTAGTCATTTTCCCTGTGGCTCAGTCTTCTTGAAGTGCTGGGGAAAATGTTGGGGTTCTCTTCAGATGCTTCCTGAGGATAGTACTTAGTCATTAATGAGATAATGAATTATACATATGGGATACATTGGACAATTTCTGGTGCACTAAATGCACATAGTAAAGCCACCCAGGTTTAGTAGCAGAGGTAATACTAGTTTTAGCCATAGAAACAGAATCATTACGGTTAGCAGTGCTTGCGGGAGTGATAAGAAACAGAATCTTAGTTTTGGTATCTCTATCTCCTGGCAACAGGTGGGAGGCTTTTAAAAAATATCTATGAAATGATCATTCTTAGAAAACTAACCGTGTAGGATTTTTCTTTCTTTTGGCCACATTAAAAACCAATAAATCTTCCACCACAATACGAAGAGATAGAAAGCACGTACTGTGAGATAGATACAACTCCTTTGGAGCAAAAAAACCCCACGTTGGATGTGCCTATGATACAAGGAAGAGTGTGACCAGAATATATTTCATACACATATGAAACTGTCAAAAAATTAATTTAAAAGGAATTAGTTTAAAGTCCTTCTCCTGGTTCACTGACAAAGTTTCCAGATCATTAGCTTCTTGACAGGCTGCTCAATGAAGAGGTGGCTGTAATTCCAAAATAAGCTACTAACCAATGCTTACTGAGCTCTTCATGATAGTTTAGGAAAGGGACACAAACATGGTTAAGAAATTATTAATATTTATAAAGATGCCCTTCGGGATCAAAAATGCCTGTTTAAACGATGCTCACTGAGGATGATGTCAACCTGAGTGTGATTCCTAGAACTCACAGGACCTCACGGAAGGCGAGAACTGACTCCTGCACGTTATCTTTTGACACTATGAGTGCCCAAAGGCACACGCCCATGCATACACACACACACACTCATACACCTATGTCCTCTTCCGCAGACACATGCATGCATGTGTACACACACACACACGTGCAAAAACAGGCATGCACACACACATATGCACACATACATGTGCACACATGCACACACACATATGCATACCTCCCCACACCACTAAATAAAGAGCTGTGTCTACCCAATGTGCCTAGGTAATAGGTAATAACTTCAGAATTATTCTTCACATCCCACATAGGCTTTTTAATATGTTCCCAGCTAATCATTTTCTTTTCCACACCCACCACCATTTCCCGACTTCAGGCAGCAACCTTTTTTATAAAGTTAACTTTATAAAAGTCTCCTGATCGGGCTGGAAACACTCTGTCTTCTAGTTCTGCCGTGAGAGTGATACCTGACGGTGCAGATGAAGCCTTCCACCTTCCACTCCAGATCGCATCCCCTGCATTCGGGCCTTTCTTTTCCATGCCTGTAAAATCCAGATTGCTCACTGTGATGATGAAAGTCATATATTTTAATATGTCATAGATGCTAATAGTAATGTTTGCGAAAGCAGTGAATTCCACAGTGCGTGGTCTATTGTGTCTTATGGAGAAATGTCTGTTGCATTTCTTTAAAATTCCAGATGATATCTATATTTTTTTATTGGCTTGTATTTCTATAAAGAAGTAATATTTTGGAGGAGGAGCTAGAAGGGCAGAGATGTAGGAGGATGGAGAACCACACAGGTATGGAGGGCACTTATGAGGAACAATTTATAAACTTATAATTAGGTTAGCTAATTGGGATACAACTCCCTTTGTATGGGCATCTTGTTATTAATCATTATCAAACATATAAAGCCTTTGATTAATCAAAAAAAAAAAAGAAGTAATATTTGAGTCAATTCATTATGTCTTTCCAAATAAGAGAATGTAGCAATCAGAAATGCCCAGCTAGTTGACTGTTGGACTTACAGATGTGGGTATCTCACAACCACAAGCTACAGTGAGGCTCCAAGCTCACATAGAAAGGTAAACTACGGTTCCCTCAAACTATATCATAGGTATTGGTCTAGGAGACTTTGTGTTGTGCTTCCAATTTTACAAAGTGTATGTTTTTCTATCATGGTATAATTGAATGATTACTGCTTTGTTGATGGCGTGTCAGATGTATGTAAGAAAGGCCCTGAACACTTACTTGGTAAATTTAGAAGCGAGTAATACTCAAGAATTTCTTTAAAAAATAAATGTGTTTTTATTATTACTTTTTAAAATTTGCCATAGTACTTTCTGGATGCCAAAGTATATTAAGACCAGGTAGGATGGGGGAGAGAATCCGAAAGGTTTGCATGCTTGAGCGTGAGCTGTAGGTTGCTGAATCTACTAGCTGGCAGATCTAATTAGAGTTGGACAAATATTGCAGATTAATATGCCTTGTTAAAAATGCAGGAAAAAACAGCGAATCATGTCAAGACATTGGTAATCCTTGACGTTCTGCCTCGGCCGTCTTTACTTCTCATTTGCAGACCCATTCTCAATAGTCTCACCCCCTCCCAGGGCCTGGGTAACCATGACATACACGTCTCTCAAGTATGGATCTTACCATTTGGTATCCAGCAGTTCCTCATCCCCAGTGTACCCATCATCAAATGTATCAATGACACCTAATAATTATCACAACAGAGATTGAATGCTGATTTGAACTTGGGAAGAGACAACATATTCAAGCTCAGCGACATCTGAGACAAAGTCACCCAGCCTAACCTGCTCCTGTGTTCACTATTCTTGGTTCCTCCTGAGGCTTCATTCTTTAAAGAAACAAAAAACCCCGCCACTTTAGAGTACATAAAATTGTATGCCACAGGCTACATGCAATCTTATAGGGCCTCAAAATGTTTGAAACAGTGGCAGTACCCTTTTAATATGCTACAGATGGCCAGGTTGGTAAGTTTATGTTACTTCAAACTGATAAGTTTCTTTGAGAAATAAAAGAAGGCACATCAAAAATGATGGTTTTTATTTTGTACTTCCTTTAGATTTTAACAGCGGACTTGGGTAACTTGGACACAATGTGTACTGTAAAGGTGAACTAGCTTTTAAATATTTACTGGTGTTTTATCTGTTTATACACTGCACATATAAATGCACGGTAAAAACTCAAAAGCAGGCCCTGGTTGAGTCTTCGTGCCCTCTACGGCATCTCAGTAAGTGTTGATACTGTGTCAGAGTTTGTGGTGTCCATGGCATCCCTGCAGCTATGAACCCTCCATTCCCTTACACAATCCTGAGGAGCAGGCATGCTCTCTAGAATACCCAGTCTCGACCCAAGAGAAAGTGGCATAGGGTATGTGTGCTTCTGAGCCTTTAGTGGGCAAGCTGATAGTCAGAGGCAGGAGCTGTCCACTCGCAGTGGGGGTTGGGACTTCCACTATGGACCCTGACAGCTATTTTTACTGTTGTTGACAGAGATCAAATGATTTGCCAGAACTCCGACCTTTTACTTCATCATCTGTACACGACAGTCAGCCACCTTGGCCATCTGCTGCAAACAGTGTCACAGTGCCAAAACACTTCTTGATTTTAAGGTTTTTAAAGCATAAACAATTTTTATAAATTCATATGGATATGCCAAAGTATTCTCAGTTCAAGTTCAAGTTCTTTCAAATCATAACCAAGTATATATTGCAGTTTACCTTCCAAGTGTTTGTTACCTCTCTCTCTCTGTAGCGAAGCAGTTTGTTTTCAATCTGAAGAAACTCTGCTCTGCAGCAGAAACACAGTCATTCTTTCACATCTCAGCAGACAACACTAGGAGCAAACCTGTCTCCATGTTGTTTCCTCTTTCTTAAGCAACACCCTGGACGTTCTTCCCTTTTCTCCATTCGTCTATAGTATATAACTTGAAACATATCCAATTCTCAGATTTGGCGACAGTTCAGGACTAAGGGACAAGGTCACAGAGATTATAGACTGTTGAATGTGTGACGAGGCGGCTCATAAAGACTCTGGTCAGATGTCCTTCATTTGCCTTTAATTAACTACAGCTGCTTTTTATGTTGCAAGCTGATCTTTGATCTGTTTTCCCCTTCAGACCTCTGTGCTCAAGGTAGTTAAAAACAAACTAGGAGGCCAATTTTAAAGACAAAAAGAAAGAAAAAAGAAGAAGAAGAAAGAAAAAAAAGGAAGAAAGGGAAAAAAAATCCCTCCGGGATAATCGAGTGACAGCTGAAGCAGCCATGAGCTGTTAGCTTTATTCATTAGAGAATTTTAAACATGTCAAGAAATAGAATAATGTCCCTGCTGTTAGATCAGCTTCAACAATGAAGATTACAACAGCTTTGGGACACATGAGTGGGCAAACTTTCTCGTGAAAGCAGTTTATTGAGGAGCATTTTACTACAGTGGCACCGAATCTAGCTTACACCGTTTCACGGGACAAAGATTGGTTCAATATGCATTGAGAGCGCTGGCCCTCTAAGAGTGGCAGATTTATTGCGCAACCTTGCTCTAACCCAAATGGCCTCTGCAATTAGGTTTAGAAAAAACGTCCTGCAGGTTCTCCTGTCGAAGTGTCTAGCCTCTGTTTTGCCACAGAGCTTGTGCTCAGTCAGGTATAGTGCATGATGCAGCCTGGGTTTTAGTGTAGTAATTACCGTATTAACTCTGAAGCCTTTTGTACATCCATGTCATTGACAAAGTCTTCCAACTGCAGTCCTACCATTGCTTTGGCCCCCCAACTTTAGAAAGCAGCGGAGCCTGGAACCCAGAGTCTTGAACGGGAGCTTTAGAAAGATGTTAGAACTGATCACAATCACATCCAAGTGGCGTTTCCTGTGCCACATTTCCCGTTTGTTGAATTCCATAGCAGCGCTCTCGTGGGTTGGGGGACCCTAGTAACAGGAATGTTGGATTTCAAAGGGAACCCCACAGGCCTTCATCACAGCACTCTTCCTCATAAATGCCAGAGAAGACTTGGCCTTCCCACATCTACTGGAACCCTTGACAGTTAAAGGAAACAAACACCATTCTGTAGTTTACAGTTTTTGTGTCCTTAGAAGTGGTACTGATGCCCAGGACAAAAATAAGACGCCTTTTAAAAAGTAGTTTATATACTTAGGTTCTCCCAAATGATATGATCTATGTCTCTGTACACATGGACCTGTCTACCATCAACTATAAACCATTGTCATCGCTTCCCGGTCTACAGCACTTGTCTTACCATATCACCTGTCTCTTTCTTGGACCTTGGAATCATGTCGGGGATCTTGCTATTTCTTTCTGATAGAGGACACTCTTTTGGAGGGCAAAAATTCACCTATGGGAGAAACAGTGTCTGTGGGAAATGTAGACAGTTGTCCTCACTGACTGAATATTTTCTTATTAACGTAATTTTTGTTGACTCCTTGTGAATTTCACATCATGCACCCCAATCCCACTCATTTCTCAATCCTTCCATATCCACGCTTCACCCTTATAACCCCCCCGAAAACAAAAATAATACTCCTAACTATTTTATGTTTGAAAATTGAATGATTTTCTAAGAACAAAAAGAAGTAGTAAAAAAAAATCATTAAAGAAAAATAAGTTGAAAGCCAGATTTGAGTGAGGAGAGTTCAGCTGAGTTCATTCAAGCGTCTGTTCAGAGCTCTGGTTCCTAATGTTGCAATTGACCGTTCAATACAGCTCCACATTTTGTGGTGACCCACAACCATGAAGTTATTTTCACTGCTAATTCATAACTGTTGTATTGCTACTACAGTAAATTATAATGTAAATATCTGTGTTTTCTGACATCTAGGTGACTCCTGCAAAAGGGTCATTAGACTCCCAAAGGGATCACTATCCACAGGTTGAGAAATGCTGTCCTAGCGGCAGGTGACTTAAGGAAGCCAGATTCAGTATTTTAAAAGGAGAAGAGAAATCTGATTGTTTCTATATGAAAAATCATTCTCAATATTATAAACAAACTCAATTTAAAAAGAACACATCTGGGGGGCTGGGGAGATGGCTCAGTGCTTTGGTTCCCTGGACTTACTTCAGGAGGCTTGCAGATAACTGTAACTCCAGGTCCAAGAGATCCGTCTCTCTCTTCTGACCTCCCCTGGCATGAGGCACTCACTTGGTACACATATACACACACAGAGTCACACATACACATAAAAACAAATACGTCTTAAAAAACACATCTATAGACCATTTTTTGAGACATGGGGATCAAACATTTTGATTGCTTACTTCCTGGGTAATGTGGTAGCTAACCTTGGTTGGTAATTTGGCACACTTGTGAAGAAAGAACCTTAATCGAGGAATTGCTTTCATGAGATTGGCATGTGGGCATCTCCACGGGACATTTTATTGATTGCTAAACAATGGAGAATAAGTCTTTGGAAAAAGTGTCAAAGCTTCACTTGCCTTAAAGGAATCCATTAAAACAAAACTCCCAAAATAAACACCACATAAGTTTAGAAGCACACAGACACTTTCATCTTCCTTCAGAACCTCTGAGCAGGTGGATAAGAAACTTTACTCAAGCTCAAGATTCAGAACCTGTGTGCATGTTTGTGTATATGTGTGTGGGATGTATACGTGCCGTGGTACATGTGCTGTGCTTATGATATGTATAGTAAGTGTGGTACACACTTGATGTGTGGTGTGTGTAATGTATTTGTGTGTTGTATGTGATATATGTATGTATAGTATGTATAGAGTACATGTATGTGTGTGGCGTGCTGTGTATGATGTGTGTTTGTGTGTGGTGTGCTGTGTATGATGCATGCGGTACGTGTAGTGTAGGTATTTATGGTATGAATATTGAATGTGCTGTGTATATTTGTTGATAAGGTTTGGTCGGCTGTTGTGTACTGTAATGCTAAATTCTTTTTTTATTGGATATTTTATTTATTTACATTTCAAATGTTATCAAACCTTTTCTGGTTTCCTGAAGGACTAGGCCTACAAGTGACTTCTCATATTTACAAGCTTGTGTTGTGCAAACCTTGTTCCCTGATTTTAAACTATTGGTTAAATAAAATTGGCTACAAGGATTAGAGGTAGATAGGTCTGGAGTGACTTAGTTGGAGAAGAAAGGTGAGGGAAGAGAAGGAGGAGGGACGAGGGGAGAGAGGGTAAGCCACCATGAGGGGAGATACATGATGAACATATGGCCAGGAGAAACAGTAAGTATCTGGGTCATACCACTGGGGAGGTAGCTGAGACAGCAGTTAGAAGAGTAAATTAGGGGTTACCCCTAAGTAACTGTCAAAGCCAAATAAAATAGCCATAGTCTGAGTCTCATTTTTTTGGAAGCTAGTCAGGGATAAGCTTAAAGTAGTTATACTGCATTTGTGATATATTCGATTTGTGTATGTGATATTGGTGTTGTATGTGTGAGGGTCTTTAGGTATTTAAATGTTTAGTCTATTATTCCGTGCTTGCAGTCTTGAGGAAGATCCCTTTGAGGGTGCAGCCTTCACAGGGAAGCATGTACTAGTTGAACAATTACTTCAAACTCTGACAGTGCCACCACCATTGAAGTGGATGGACGACGAGCTGGACCTGGGGAGGCCTACTCAGTATGCAGTTGGAACCCTCATCAAAATAGTCCCTGAAAAACTTCTTGTGTCTGTCCAGGAAGATTTAGGATTAAATATAAAAGTCAGGATTGTAAGAAAAATCATTGTTTATTGTTGGTAGATGATATGTTAGTTGCTGACTCTTCCGTTACCGGTCATGTCAAATCATTAAACAACCCCACGAAATAGCTAAGACTTTTGGGAAAGTTTTGGCTTTATTTTACTCTTATGGATTTACTTTATTCCTCATATTATTGTATGTGTCACAAAATCAAAATCTGATACCTGTCAAATTTAGATGGGGAGATGCCAAACAGGGAACACGTACATTAATCAGATCATTATGTGGAAAACTTCAATATGCAAAATATGTCCCCTAAAACATTTTTACAGCTTTTAATTAGTTATATAAGTCATTTGCTAAATGCATAGTCACAATATTCATTGCATTTAAATTCATGTCACATATACTGCATGGAAGGCCAATGCACCATACAGATGACACTTGAGACAGAAACTGAATTCAGAACTTAGAACTTTTAACTTCTAAAACATATCTTCCTGATATTTAATTTAGAAGCAGACTAAAATAAAACTGGCTGTGTTTTATATGACACAATAATTCAACACATTTATAAGAACAGCGTGATATTTCAACACATGTATATACAGTGTTCAAATATACAACGTTAAAAAACATTAATGGGTACATTAATCACTTCAAGTATTCAGTACTTATTTATGCTAAAAATGTTCAAAATTTTCTCTTAAAGTGATAGGGAACATTTGACCTTGGTCCTCTTAAATATGTGTATATGCATATGATATATATGTATATATACATATATATTATTATCAGGATTTCATTTGATGAACGAAGTGAGAGAACATAGAACTCTCTTAATTATCATTTCTTAGGTGTAATTTTCTTTTTTTATTCGATATTTTATTTATTTACATTTCAGATGCCATCCCCTTTCCCCATTCACCCCACCCATAATTCCATATCCCATGCCTCCTCCTCCTCCTTGTTTGCCTTTATACTGTTTAAATTATATGCAAGTATTAAGATCAGCTCTAGGTAGAGGAACTAGCAATACAATAGATGCAAATAGTCCAGGAACAAGGAAGACAATAAACCCAGATAATCAAAGAACATGCACAACAATAAACAGAGTCCCGTGATCACTATTTCTAAGGGTTTATCAGGACGATCAAAATATCTGAGCCTACTTCCCTGTCCTAGCCCAAAGTCATTTTCATGCCTGAAGCCTACTTCTTTGTTCTAGCCTTGGATTTAGATTTCTGCCTGAAATTACTACTTTGTTCCAGCCTAATGTCAGATTTCTGCCTGCATTCCATTTCCTTGTCCT